AGATGAGGATGCAAGTGGCTCTGGAGAAGGTCCGCACTATGCAGATGACTGGATGGCCGGGGCAGCAGCTGTGGGCCCCCCAGCCCGGCCTCCCCGGCCTCCTGGCCGCAAAGGAGGTTTCATCGTCCGCCAAAACCAGGGCAGGAGCAGGACTGGGGGGACATCTGTTGGTTTTCACACCCAACCCGTTCTCATTCTCTTCCTCTCAGCCCTGGCCCTGCTTGGACCTCGATAACACGGGAAGGGTGCCCTGGCATCAGAGGGGTTCATGGCCCTTTCTCTCCTCCCCTCTCAGCTGGATCTGGGGAGGAGTTGAAGGGGGCTGCAGAGAGGGTTGAGAAGGGACTTTTTGGGTGAATGGCTAGGGCCCCAAATCCAGGAGATTCCCATTGGGATTGGGTGGGTGTTCACATATTTATTTTTTCGTTTGGTATCCGGTTCGGGAGGCGGGGGGGTATTTATTTAGGCTGTGGTCTCTCCAACTGAGCCTCTAAGTTTGGGCTCTGGTGGTCAGCCCCAAGGAGGAGAAAGGGAAGATTTTTAGAGTGATGGTTGGGGTGTAGGGTTTGAAGGAAGTTGGAAGTGGGGAGTGGTGGGTTCACCTGGTCTGTGGAATGGACAAAGCTGGGTGCTGATAGGGCGCAGGGCAGGGAACTTGGGTGTGTGTATCAGGATCTCTGGTCCTTGGGTCTATGTGTTTTTTTCAGTACCAATTTCTTAAACTAAAACGCAAAAAAAAAAAAAAAAAATCATGACCTCTGCCATCCACATCCTTCACAAGTTTTGCATTTTACAAATAAACAACTAATTTATTGGACCCTGAGTGTGACTCTCTGTAACTTCAGCCGCCCTCCCTGAGCCCTGGCTCCCTGCAGAGGCGCCAGAGCCTCTCTAAGGGCTCGTTTCTGCTTGTTCTCGCCTCTCTTGGATCCCCTCCCCGTACTGAATTTGGGCAAGTGCTTCACCCTCTGCATCTGAGAACCTTCCTTTGTAAGATGGGGAGGAACGTGAGGACCAGATAGGAGCTGTGTGAGGAAGCACCTCGTTACGGGCAAAATTCCTGGAAAACGAAGCATCATTAATAGACCACACGGCTGCCCCCTGCCTTCAGAACGGGGCTCCTGTTCTCTGCCCGCGTCAGCCTCTGGCTGCCTTGTCACAAGTTCTTGCCAATGTCTGCTTTCAGCTCTTGTCTGTTACTTTCTCCTTTCTGTCTCCTGAATGAGTAGTTTGTTCTGCAGAAAGCAGAGAAAGAAAAGGTATAAGTGATTCTTAAGTGTGAAAGGAGGGCAGAAATGGTGTCTTCCAAGGGCAGGCTATGTGCCCTGACCCAAAAAGAAAAAAAAAAAAAAAGATGCAGGGAGGGAGAGACCCAGAGACTTGATCAAAGTTGAAGCAGCTGCTGGGACTGGCCAGACAAAGGGAGGGAGAGGGGCGGAGCCTGGGCGCTGAGAAAGTTTATGGGGAAAGTTTAGCCGAGTGAGGAGCCGGGGCGGTGGCTGGGGAAGGCCAGATCCTGATTACCCTGCTGCTCCTCAGGAGGCTTGGTGAGTGGGCAAGTGACATCGAGGCTGCAGCCAGGGGAAGGACTCCAGGATTTATGGGAGGAGCCTTGGGGGAGGGGGGTTATCACCAAAGCTGCAGGGGACAGAGGGCTGGAATTGAGGGTAATAGGAGGAGACAGGGGTGGGTGGAAGGGATAGAAGGAATCTGGACACACAAACCTAGTGCAAGGCTAGATCCTGGGGGCTGTGTTGCGGGAAGGATGCCAGAGGGGGCAGGTCTTTAAGTAGCAAATATGGGTTTCTCTGTCTGGAGTTACTCCTGCCTGTCCTGGAAGGGGCTGTCCGGGCTTGTTGGAAGGGCTGTGGCCCGTGGTTGTGGCTTGTAATCTGAAGGGGTGGGTCAGACTCCCAGCTGATTAGGGAACTGGGGCCTGGGAAGCAATTCCAAACTGAATGCTCGCCTATCAGTATCTTTATCTCTTTCTCCAGCCCCACCCTCTCAGTCTCCTCTGGGTGCACCGATGAGGTTGAAAAGTGGGAATGGGGTGGGTTGTGTGTGTGTATCGGGGGTGTCTTGGGATCTGGATTTTGTAAATAACCCTACATCTCCCCCAGCCCCTCCCACACTGGGGTGGGCCCTGTGCTGAGAGGGAAAAGAGATGCTTGAATTTAGACCAGATGACTGACTCTTACTCATTACAAAGTCACTGCTGTGGCCTCACCTCTCTGGGTTCATCTGCCTGACCCACATTCCCTCCTTATGCCTTTCCCTCTCAGCCTCCAAATGGGACTCTTCATCCCGACAGAAGCTCAGGAGGGAGCCAGGGCCTGGCAATGGCCACCTCACTGTCCTGAACAGATTGGTCTGATCTTTCTTGCAGGGTCTCTCTTTCA